TTGAAGGCATCAATTTAAAAGCTGCGGAGGAAGAATAATCCATAATTACCAACCAAAGAGCCCACACGGCGCACACAGAACTCACGAACAAACAAACAAAGAATATTGCCAAAGACTTGATATTAACATTTTGTACACGTTTAGCTACACAACATGCATGTACATACATATGTATGCATGTAAGTATGTCCGTACGGGTAGTTATGTGGAAAGAATAGAAAAACAAGCGAAAGAAATATGCTCCAGAACACGTATTGTTCGAAGCATCGAAGCAGAGAATGTGCGCATGCGCACACCTTTCTATTATATCTATAGACACATACATATGTATATATGTACATGTGTACTTACACACAAATATATGTATACATGTATGCTTGAGAGCTGGTATGCGAGTCTGCCTTGCCTTGCCCTGTCTCGCCACACCATTGTCACGTTACGGTTCATTTCTGCCTGCGGGAGGAAGTGACAAAACGAGAATCATGACGGTGTGTTCGTGGATTGAATGGAAAGCTAATGAATTGATACAGTGCGGTGAATGTGAGTTTTGTAAATATGGAACTGGTTAGACATTTGTAAAATTGATCGATTAATTGATGGGTCATTGTATGTGATTTGGTATGATCAAGTGCTGCCATTTCGCTTGCTGCTGAGTGTGGAAAAGTCATGTATGAAAGAAGTTTCTACAGAAATCTCGTAAGCAAACTTTAGCTTTTGCGGACACAGCTCGAAAACATGACAGAGTGGCTCATATTGGGCATAGATTAGGTTAGTATGGAGTGGATTTCAATCGAAATTCATCGACTTTACTTAGACTGGTATGAGATCCGCCACTTTTTTCCTTTATATTTTTTGCTTCGTTATTCAATTCTTCGAGTTCAATCATTTTGACGTCGGCTATTTTGCATAGCTTATCAGTAAAGATAGTGCCGAAGTTTGGAGGCCTAACCCTATATAGAGGACGTCATAGATTTTATAGCTTCTCCAATATCTTTTACCCGTTGTTATGAGATTTTTAATTAGTTTTCGCATAGATCGGTCCCAGGTTCCTTTCACGGTAAATCCTCTCTTATCGGATGCCTATGTCGCTCGCAGAAAACACCAACAAGTGTCATGTCTTTAGGATCTGTGGGTTATATAAGTAGGAAATTCTCAGTGTTTCGAAATTTCATTCTATCAGATAATGGCCTGTCAGAAATCTCTTATGAAATGAAATATGTACTCTCTTTTTTGGGAAAACTTTTCTCGTGATCTTTTTTTATCAGATTTGCCTAAATTTCCACAAAGTGGTTGTACCTAGGTGGTGGTTTGGATTCTAGTAAGAGTCTTTTGTGCTGCTCCATACAGGAGATCTCCTGTCACAGTTCTCGGGACGGCTGACGCATATCGTCTCGCTGGGCCTCGGCACCCGGATCAAAACAGCTTGGTCGAATGTGATGACTCTCAATGACTCTGGGGTACTCTTGCTTTCAGCTGGTGAAGAGGTTAGCCAAAGATTATGATGGTTATAATTGCAATTGTCTTGCAGTGAAGAAGTGCTGGCTACCCGCCAATATCGAGCAATCATCGGCATTTGAGATCAGTGAAACCGTCCGATCGTTGAAGGAGGAAATTTCGAGATATAAAAGTTAAATAAGAGTGGGGAGCGGACACCATCCTAAGGAAACTCTTCTTCAATCTTTCTGAGTTTGGGTATTTGACCTTAAAATTCGACCGTTAACTCACGACCACTCAGGTAGACCACGAAGAACTCTTGAGCCCTGACGATAAAGAGGATTCCTCAATGTTTGATAGAAGCACTGAATAATTGGCAGTGTCAAGAGTTTTTGACAGTTTCAGCTGTACTAGGACAGTTCGCGCACAGGGCCGGTTTTGGTTGAGGCGTTTGGGACTGTACACTTTACGAAAGCCATGCCGATGTGCTGCTGGACTCAGATGATATGTGATATTTTAAAAGTATTTGCTACTGAGGAGAGGAGATATATCGGCCGATATTTTTTTCCTTAATTGGCTTTTTCCCTGGTTATAGTAGCGAGAACATCATACCCATTTTTCACATGACAGGTATTATAGGTATAGGGGTGGTCAGAGACAAACTGGGCACCCTGAATGGAAAGTCTGCTCCCGCTGGTTCTAGGAATTTCAGCATCAGCAGGCTTATTTAATCGGGCTGATGGATTTGGGAGGCTTTCGCCTTCCCGATTACCCCATGAACATCTTTCGGGGAGAAATAAAGCGTCGCGCTAGTTTTGGCCGAAAGATGCAGTGTAAAAATCGGGCTAAAATAGCTCGCTCACCACTTTGAGCGTGACAATGATTTGACTGTGGCCCAGAGCTTGGTTGCCCCAGAGGCGAGATTACAGGATCTTAAAAGCTCTTCCCACTTATTCCGCGTGTGAATCTAACTGTTGTTGTTGGTATAATTGTAACCACAAAATATTCCCCGGGTCCTTCCGGTATAAAGACCCGTCTGTCGCGGAAGCAGTAGCCATGTGATTATCATTACGTACATTAGTGCAAACTGTAGGTCCCTCCATTTGTTGGTACATCGTCAAGACGCTAAACCACAAATTGTGGACGAAGTTCGGTCGGTTACAAAGCGCCAATTATGAATATATAATAGGAGAGTGATGTGTAATTATTGGCCCATTTATCTCTGTTGGGGATTCCTGGCAGTGGAATCCCACTCATCGAGGTCATCTTAAAGAAATACCAAAGGAAGGCAGACTTAGAAGGTGAAGGTTTTAGGGGGCTTGCAAAGATTTGGGTAGCTTCGTACAAGCTCCCATTATGTACAGAGAATGAAAAAGTCCGGTTTTGGTTTGATTGTCATTAGATAGATAGATAGATGATGTATTGAGGATGTGAAGCGCAACCAGTGATTTTGCTTCGGCTCAACGACCCCTAGATGTCTTCTTCTATTGGCAGTTTCGCATTCAAACATTTATTGCACCGGCGTCCCGGGTAGTAGCTCACAGAAGCGACAAGTCTCATTGGAGCTGATTACGGGAATACGCAGTTTGCAATGTCCTTCGGGAAATCCTGTTGGTATCCCTACTTGATTCCCTGTAAGTAATATTTGTTCCGTCATTTTGGCTACGATTGGCTATTCCATTTGATTGCAACTCTAAGACAGGCTTTGAGTAATCTGCAATGAGCTTTCTCTTTATGTAAGTGTTTAACTCAAAATAAACGCACAACGCCCGCACCAGCACGCCTGCCGCTTCCATTGACTGCCTTTCGTATGCATAGGCATGTCGACATATACATACGTACATACATATGTATGTATATACTTGCTATTCTGTCAAGATCTCATTCATTTGCCTCTGCGGCAGTAGCCACATAATACCTCCTCTCTCCTCACAGCACGACGTCGTATTGCATACATACATATATATGAGAGTCCGTAGGTATGTGAAGTTGTGAAACCGGTTTCCCGGCGTTTTGGTATTTCGCCGCTTAATGTTTTGCCTTAATTTTTTATATTCATTTTTATTCACGTTTCTTTATTTATCACGTTTATCTCTCGCATTGCTATGGCGCACAGCGATCGCATCCCAGTCTCAGCTAACTAATATGCGAATGGAGAGTTGCCATATATTTTAGTGAATGGTAAATTGAATGAGTTGTTGAAAGATAATTTTATTGGTCTTTTTTAGAGTTTACATGTACTGCTTTAAGCTTTCTAGAAGCCAAGAATGAACAGTGTTCCATTGATATCTATCCTGGGTGACTTACCAGCAAAAGTTAAGAGATCTTCTTCTCCAAGGTTCCCTTCTGTGGTCTTGTAAAGGAATTATGGTGGCAAGACAATCGCTCGATAACAGATTGAAAATGCAGTAACTCAAGCTACTGGGGACAAACTCAAGCCCCTCAAGAGGATTGTCTCCGAGGCTCTGATGAAAGAAAGCAAACGGGAAACCGCTAATAGGCTATACTTTCTGTGAACTACATAAGTTCCGTCTTACTGAGATTTACGGTAAGACCAGTTTTGGCCACCACGTTGAGGTGACGCACTTTGAGTTTCCCCTGACCCTTTTCTAACGGAACAATTTCTCTAAAAAGTGCTCCAATTGTATATAAGGCGTTTCCCATCGGCCTACTATTGTTGTTTTTATATAAAAGTCAACCAGCCTTTCTAGGGGTTTCAAAGGAAAAGAAGATAACCTATTAAGTTTCAGATGTACCCTAGTCACGACAGCTTTTTGCGTTAGCGCTCAACGCAGTTTCCCCGACAATCAATTATATTTCCTTACAGCATAAGGGGTTTGACTAGAAATCGTTTTAAATTCGAAGACTCGTAAGATCCTTGTACGCAACTAGAGATGGGTCTTTTCGTTTTTCTGCTATGGGCATTATAAAGCGGGTTTGGGCTTTTTGGCGAGCTCAGTAGAAGCACAGTTTGCTTCTTTGAGCTTTATATCTGATTGAAGCTCTCTTTTCGGACAACTCTGACGACTATCTCTACTTCAGAGTTCGAAAATGGGTCGAATGGTTTTCTGTAGTTCTCATATTGATATGTGCTGTCTCTTAACTGAATATGACTTCGATTCAAATTTTAAATTTAAAATTAATTTGGATTTTCTTGATCATGCACGCAAATAATGTCTGGAACACGGTCACACATGGCAATCCTCTAATATTTTTTTAATTCTGGGTGCGCTGACGCTCGAATGAATAGCTGCAATGTTGAGGCATAGAAGAGTGGTCTCAAAAGCGGGGAAATGCAGACAATTCACATTTATACATACATGCGCACATGCATATGTATATATTTATCCACCTTGCTATATTAGATACTAGTAGAAAAAAGATTGACGCACAAGCTGCGCAGCTTAAAATGGCACGCAACAAAACAAAAAAAAAATTTGAGACAGGAATTTCTGATAAGTCGCCTGAACAGGTAATTTCCTTATACGCTAAGTTCATTTATAATATATTATGTGTAAATTCATATGTATGTTGCAAAATTATATAAATATTTAAGTAAAACGCACCAAACGCATACACTCGTTGTTGAACCGTCAAAGAGCTGGCGTTTTATTTTGTTTGTTGTTTTTGCAAAATAAAAATTCAAATATTTTTTATTTGTCACAAATTTTACTTTTTTATTTATAAAATAAATATTTGGGTGTATTTTCTAGCATTAAAACGCTTGCAAAGGTACGCACGCTCTGCGCTTTGCACAATGAAATTCCCACACTCGCGGCTAATTCACAAGCTCGCGTTAATTTTTATTGCATACATACTTTAGCTGGGCTTCGTTTAGTTTAGTTGTGACACATTTGTTACCAGCATTTTTTTTCATTCTTTTAATAAATTCATGCTCAAAAATAAATTCTTGCAAAAAAAAGCATTGCTTTATCTTTGTTATTATTATTTCAACATTCGCTATAATGCACTTTTCAATTATTTAGATGATGAGCAATAATCTTTGTACATATGAATGTACATTTCCCCACTTTCACACCAACCAAAAGCAACGATCACAAAGCGCATAAAAATGTGAAGCAAATCACCTGCAAACCGTCAAAAATTTACCGTTTAACACACGTTCGCATCGCCACCTTTTGTTAGACTGAGCGAAGTCGTAGTCACCGGTTGGAGAAATGGTGTTGTTCTTACGTTTGCGACATCGACAGCGCACAGTGGGCTGATGTAGCTAAAATGTGTAAGAACTATTCAGAAAGTGAGAGAGAGAGAGAGCGAGATAAGAAATGGAGCCATTGCAATTGCTTTAAATAAATATTTTACATATGTATATATTTAAATTAGAAGCATTTAATTTTTAGTTGTATATATTAAAAAATCTATTATTATTAATTTTCGCAACTACACATATGTATGTGTTATATATATCTACATGCATACATATCAACTTTCGGCACACTTCTTTAATTTCTCATAACTCAGCTGCTTCCATTTACGTATGTATGTACGTAGAGGGCAGTGATCGTTGCTGAAGCAAATATACTATATGACTTCATGCATACATATGGATACTCACATACTTACGTGCATACTGGCTACACATGTACACAAAAGCAGGCCAAAATTGCATTTCGTACAACATACTTGTTTTTGTTTTTGAGTGCATGAACTGAAATATGAGCAGATTCAAAGGTGAGAGAGCGATGGAAGAAGAAGAAAGCGCTTGATATAACGCACCAAGCAAAGAGAAATGATAATCATTTGTATTAAAAAACTGTTTTATATTTTAAATACAAATATTAATAAAAAGTTTCATAAGAAAAATTGTAATTTTAACAATTATTTAGTTAATTACATTCAATTTTTTTTTACTAAAAAAACTAATATGCCATGATATTTAATCACTACTTTGTGTGATTGCGAAAGTTTAGCATACTTTTAGGCATTACAGAGGAAATCCCTATAGATATTGCCATACTGTCAACTACTTTAAACGGAAATCGTATTTTCAAATGCTAAAACAACTTTTAACTTTTTTTTCAGTCTTCTTTAAAGTCTTTATTGCTTGTGTATGATATGCATATGTATATATGTAAGTATTTAAAATTTTTAAGCACTTTCCATTCTCTCCATAACGTTGTTTCACACGCTTCTGCCGCAACTAAAATGGCTCCTTCAACACTTTTCCATGATCTATGCCGTAAATAAACTCATTATCTCGCACATATGCCCAGGCCATACGCTTTGAGGTCCACGAAATGCCAATATCACCCTTTGGTCCAATAGTTATGGCACCACCAGTACCACCTAACCGTTCAGTCATCTCTTTACAAGCCACTTCGGTGGCCTCTTGTGCCGACATATTGCAATATCTGATGTTAGCTAAAATTTTTTGTGCCAAATTGAAACGCATTATTGTTTCACCATGACCCGTTGTAGAAACACCGCCCCATTTATTATCCGCATAAGTGCCACATCCCAGCAATGGTGTATCGCCTATACGGCCAGGCACCTTGCCGGTTATGCCGCCTGTTGATGTAGCAACAGCAATATTGCCTTTTGCGTCTATTGCCACAGCACCTACTGTGCCAGGCTCACCCGGCCGTTCTTTGATCGTATTATCCAGCTCTGTTGGTGCATAAGTTGTATCTTTTCCTTCCGATTGTTGCTGTTTAAATTGTGTCAGAGCTTCACAAGCACTCGGTGTTACCAGAGAACCTTGAGGCAATTGCACAGCACCATTTTGTAAAGCAAATTTTTGTGCACTTGCACCGCCCAAGAATGTGTGATTAGTTTTCTCCATAACATGGCGTGCCACTGTGATGGGATATTTGATATCATGAAGTAAGGTTACGCAACCAGCACGTAGCTGTGAACCTTCCATAATACTGGCTTCAACTTCAACATTGCCATCACTATTTAGACAAGCCCCATAACCAGCATTGAAATTTTCATCTTCTTCCATTGCACGCACAGCTGCTTCGACGGCATCTAACGCAGAACCCACCGCTATACCGCCTGATTCCTCCGAGGGTATTAGTAGTGGCAAACCTGCTTTCAAAGCCAATTTCATACCATTTGCCTTGCCAAGTATGCGCGCATCACTAATGCCACCCGCTCCACCGTGTACAAGCAACATTGGTGTGGACATTTTAAGAAATTGTGATTTATACCTACCAAAAATTGTTGTAGACTTTTATTATGGTTTAATTTTATAGTCCACTGTTTATTATCTATTTTACTCACTGCGCAGGTTGGGAATAGCGAACGTTGTACGTCAAGGAACTTTACTACTTTGTCCAGAAATGCATTCGCCGGACAGCTTTTAATCATTGTTTACGGTTTGTTGGCTTAGCTGCTTATCTCAACTGGAAATTTGTATTGGAAAAGTAATAAAAAATATGGAAAAAATATTTGGAATATAAGAACCACAACAAAGAAAAAAAACAAAGAAGATAAGTTATTGCACCCAACACACATTTTATAAGATGTTATAAATTAATTGAAATATATGTATTATACGTAGCTTCTTATTTACGTGATGATTGTAGCATTTGACTAGTTTATCGCGATCTAGAATGCACGCTTAAAACTTTAAAGCCGATGGCAGATGGTGTAAATACCATCTAGTGATATTTTAACAGATTTAGACAAATATACAGAAATGATATTTTATTAATATTATATTGTTGCGAAAATGCGAGGCGAATGTCAGATGAAAGAGAGAAGCCGATAACTAGTACGTTCTAGAAACGATAAAACAAGAACCTTCCATAGCGAACAATTCGATGCTTCTACGCTTTCGTCTGCGAGCAGCCGACTGCTATATAAAGGCGACACTCAGCTGCAAGTCAAGTTAGTGATAAAGTAAACTCGTTGGCGTTAACATCAGTAAAATCGTAAAGTAAACGTGTTGGGAGTGCATTTAAGTAGAGTAAATTGTGAAAGTTGATGATAGTGATTGTAAATAATTAAGTGTAGTATAATTGAATTGTGAATTACTGAGAAAATAAAGGACATTAGATTAATTCTTTATAAAGAAAGAAACTGCAAATTGCATTGGCGAGTTTTTATTTAACAATCCAGAGATCGTACCCGAAGGATTTAGAAAATAATCGAGGTTGATTTAGTAAAATCGTAACAATATAATAATAAATAACTTATGCTTCATAAACTAAAAGGATGTAAACACAAATTCGATCCAGAGACAAACGTAAATAAAGAATATCAGATTCTTTAAATATATGGAATGGAACATAGATTCTGGAAAATGAATGCCGATAAGATTTAAATAAGAACAATTTTCATATCAGGCATTATAGTTTTGGACCTATTTTCTATATAGAACTGAAAAGCTTTTCGATTTATAAAGTCTGATTTCGCTTAGTCATGTGCCTTAAATAATTGATTAAATTACCACACGGTTTAAACCGTGGTGTATTTTTCAATTCAACTCGATTGATAAGCAGAAAAAGCATAATAAACTACCACAAGTGGCAGCTTTTTCTTTTAAATAATGAAAGACAAAGTGGCAGCTACGAAATCATAACATAACAAAAACTAATAAATTGCTACAAAAAAAATAGCAATGACATTTCTGCCAAAATTTGGATTCTCAATTCAATCTGCTATTTCTTCTCGAACATTGTGGACGCTTTCTGAGCTAAAAAAAAAAGAAGTTTCTTCTCTTGCATTTATTCAATAAACCAGAATTAAATTGTGACTAATCTATCCAAGCAAAAGACGTTAAAATTGTGAAATAGAAAAGTGTTTTAAAAAAGGAACTGAATTTCTTAGACAACATAGAAAAAAAAAAATTAATTTTAATCTATAAATGAACGCTTACTGCGTTTTATTACAAAGCCTAGCACAAAAAATTGTATACAAAGTGAATTAAATAAGAGATTTCCAACAATCAGGTACGTAGTTTGCTAGATATATGTATGTAAATTTACATAATGTACATGTATATACCGTAAGCATTTAGATTTAATACAAATTTGATTTTGTTTCTGTAGCCAAACATTCGCAATTTATATGTATACATACATATATACATATCTACAATATATCAAACATAAAAATATATGTAATGCTTATTCGTCTTTTACATCACTGCCATCTGACACACTTTATGTCCAAATAGCTACTCATGTGCGCATCTGTGTATGCCACTCTCATACTCTCAGTCGTCCTTGTTACAATTTCTCAATCGGCCACCTAGTGTAGCTCCCCATCAGCAAAACCACAATTATCAATTTATAGACTATGTTATTAGCTCATTGCTTCTTTTCATTTTCTCTACGCATTTTGTGTATTTTTACAAGTTTTGTTTTCATTTGCTGCTTTGTCGTTCGCTTTGTTTATTCCTCTAATCATTTTTGTAATTATAAAGCCCATTCGATGGGTATATTGTTACAAATTGCATAGACATTAGCTGTTGTGCAATAATTTTATATGTATATGTATAATTTTAACAAAGCATTCAGTCTGATAGCTTAGTGAGTGTACGGCAAGATCTGGACGAGATACATACATATGTATGTGTGTTTACAAAATTATTTTTAAATCTTAAAACTTTGAAAGCTTTAATAGTTTAAAATTTTCATAGTAATAAGACCTTCACATGTCGTAAAAGCAATTAATAACATAGGCATGTAAAATCTCCTTGGAGGAAAATATCTTTTGAAAAAGTACATACTTACAAGCATTCTACGACAATCCGTTGATTATTAGTTTTTTTTTTAAGTAGAGCAGTAGTAAGTTTACCTATTTTTCGTACTGATATTAATCATTAAATTATACTCCAACTATGTAGTCAGTCATGAGCAAAGTGTTGTTATACAATTTCCAACTTAATTGCAGCTTGCAAAAATAAAGAAAAATCAAAAGTGGTGACTAAAGAAAAACCAAAATCACACTCAGATCAACTAGCATTCAGACAAAGGAAAGTGTCATTAGTCCAGCAGCACAATCATCACTGTTGACCGTGTATGTTTTCCGGTATTTATTTGCTTACAAAAAAGGAGTTACAAACAAAGAAAACATCAGTAAGACGAGCACGTTGAACTTACACAGGCTGTGCAGTGCAACCAACAGACAACCAACCATCCAGTTTAGGCAAAGCCACTTCAATCAATAACCACAACGCAAAAGTTTTCTTTGTGCATTAGACGCGAAATTGCATAAAAAGTTGAACTGTACCAAGTTTGGAGTAACAACAAAAAAGTTAATAAATAAATAATAATTGAAAATAAAGAACAAGTAGCACAAAATTGTTAAAAACCACACAAGCAAAAAGTAAACATTAAAATAAACGACGCAAATATGCCAGCTGACTCGGTTTCAAGGTGAGTAGAAGCTGTGGAATTAGCAATAGAAGTATTGTTTAGGAATTAGTCAATAATTTGGGTATATTGTGCTATAGAAGAGAGTGGGACTTATTGTGTTATTGCATTAATTTATTTAAGCTTAGGAAATGCATTTATCGCATGCTTCGACGCTTACATGCAATAGTTAATTGGAATTCTTTTATTCTGGCTGGCTACAGAAATTACTGGCTTTTTACTTTACTGCGCAATTATTTTTTTTACTCAAAAAAGTGTAAAATTATTATATGTACATATATATGTATGTACACATATATTTCGCTTCTGTTTGTGTTTTGCATACATAAATATGTATAAGCGTATGTAATACTTCAAATTTGTTAAAATTATTAAAAAAAATTGTAATAAACGAAAATATGTACATATGTATGTGCATTTATATGTATTTACTGCTTGTGTTAATTATAAATATGCAAATATATGTGTGTTTATTAAAAATTTATATCTGGCGTAGCGATTCTTGGTTATTTGCTTTACTTAGTAATGCTAGTCAGCTCTCCACGGATGTGTTTATATATATTTTTTTTTTTTTATTAATGGCGGCCGCGGTAACCGAATGGAGACATTCAGAAGGCTCGCGTTCAAATCCCGGTGCCAGCAACATGCAAAAAAGTTATGGCAGTTTAATTTAAATAAAAAATTAAGTTAAATTTCCTAACCACGCCTCCGAGTGTATTTTTCACATGAAAAAACTATCAGCCTTTCGGAGGCGGCTTACTATAAATTTTTTGTTCCTCCATTTGTTTGAAAAACATCAAAACGCAAAACCCCAAATTGGAGGAGGAGCTCGGTCGAAAAATCGCATCAGCGGTTACAAAGCGCCAATTATATTATATACTCATATAACAGAGCTTACTACTTTTAGTTTCATAAAATATTTCTGAAAAATCATTTATAGTTGTCACCTTTCATATCAGGCGCACAATTTTTGTATTAATTGATCCAATAAATTATGTTTATAGTAATTTTTATTTTAACGCTATGGGATTAGCACAAAAATTCAACTAATGAATGCCGTTAAATATATATTTTCATATCCTTATATTTATAAAATTTTCAAAATAAGCCATTAATTATATTTTCTTTATAGAATGGACTCTAATGGTTCTGCTGGCGAGTCCAATGCGCCCGAAAATTTACTAGGCACATCACCCGGCGCCTCTAGTTTACGCAGTCGCACTGAGAGTGAAAGCTCTGATAAGTAAGTTAGTGCAAAATAATTCCATAAAATGTTTTATTAATATACTTGTGTCTCCATTCTTCAGAATGGCGCGTTTCGTACTGCCGAGTATGGATGGTAGTCCACCAAAGGTGCTTACGCTGCATGAAGTGGGTGATGTACTGAAGAATATACAAAATATGGAATTGGTGCATGAAATTGCCATTAATCCGGAATTTAAATTCGAGCCATACGAACCACCAGAGAACAGGTGCGTAAATTATAAATATGAAATACATCTTTCTTTTTCATGCAACCCTTATAAATCCTTAGTCTCGAGCGTCGCATTAAAGATATCATGCATAAAGCATTTTGGGATGTGTTGCGTAGTCAATTAAATGAAAATCCACCATGCTATGATCATGCCATACAACTACTGACTGAGATTAAGGATTGTTTTCCCCAGATCATATCGCAAAATAATTCACGTGCCTTACAGCGCATCAATGAAATACTCGATATCGATGTTATAAAACGGCAGGCCGAAGAGGGTGTGCTGGACTTTAAAGCTTATGCCAACTTCGTCATACAAGTCATGGCAAAATCATGTGCACCTGCCAGAGATGAACTTGTGCGTCAGCTGACTGAAATCGAAGATGTTGTGGATTTATTTAAAAATATACTCGAAACTATGGCGCTAATGAAACTAGATATGGTGAACTATCTACTCGATTATGCACGTAACGATATTATGGCTAATTCGGTGGAGTACGAGAAGGAGAAATTCAAGGAGTATTTGGAGTATTATAAATGTAAGAAAAACTATTGTTAATATATTTCATATATGTATATATAATGATAAATATTTTACTTATGATTCTTAGTTGGCTTCCCAGCCACCGAAAATTGGCTTAAGAATAGCTGCACACACGATGCTAATAATGTGCCCTCATCGCCAGAGCAAACCATTTCCAACGCTTACATGGAACTCATGGATTGGGATGAGTCTAAAGAGTTCCCCGAGGTGCTATCTATTGATAAGGAACGTATTTTAAAGTTGGGACAACGTGCCAAACGCATTTGTACATGTGCTGGTGTCATTTCAATTTGTTCTGGTGTGCCAATAATCTCGCAACGTAGCGAAAATCGCGTGGCACTCGCCAAACAAATTGAAATTATCCTACAAGGCACTGCTAATGAAAAGTAAGCGAAGTGCTGGAACTAAGAATTTTTTTTTTGAACTTTCCAATATGTACTATTATTTATTATTATAGAGAACTTTTGGATTCAATTGAAAATGTGTGGTTGCAAGTAAAAACCGTTATAAATGAATATCTACAAAAAGAAAGCCAGCCAGTGATGGACGCTAATACGGAGGAAATGTTGAAATCGCAAATAATGCAAGTGGGCAAAAAAGATTCACCTGTGCGCACATTGATGTGTAAGTTTTGTAAATAGATCTTATTTTTATAAACATATTCTTTACTGTTTTTTTTTTTTTTTTTTTTTTTGCCAATAGGGAAACGTTTTCAAACCTATTTCCGTTTGGCCTTACGCTCTCGCGCTGGCTTGCCACCGCCACCACCAGGTTATGCCGACTTCAAGGATGAGTTGGAGGCCTATTGTACTGCCCTAAAACGTGTTATTGCTTATAATCATTCCGTCTTCGGTGAATATTTCATGAAATTGCTTACACAACAACGTTTCACCAACAACGAAGTAGGTACAAGCGAAAGTGCATCAGCTGCAAGTGTTCAAGAGCAGTCGGCTGCTGCTGGTGGAAAAACAAACGCAGTCGCTACCGACGGCAAGGTTGAGGGTCAGTAATGAAAATGTATGCCAGCAAATGATCAAACGACGTCGGTATGTACGGCGTACGTCGCGAATGTATGGTGCGCATGCTGTCAATGGCACATAACGCTCTAGCAAATGAAAGATTTTTGTAAAGAAAATGAGTAACGATGCCCAGATTGTGCTATGCCTGTGCTGATGAAAGTGCATTTATATATGTGAGAGAGGCAATAAAAAAGAATTTCGTATTTGGGCAGACAAGTAGAAAGTTAAAAACTCTTTCCTACCACCCTAAACGTGGAAAACACGCTTTTTAACGATTAAATGGATAATATTAGAAACAAAAGAAAAACGTATGAAAATGGAGTAATGAAATGCAAAGTAAAAATTCTAAAAAAAAAAAAAATATTCGTTAATTTTCCATGCTATTATTTTGAATCACTGTTTTACAAAATTATTATATAAAAAACAAAGCAAAATCAATTGTAAAATTATATGCTTAGATGTAAAAACTGACAATTTTAATTTTTTTTTTTAAAAAATTGGCAAAAAATAAGTTAAAAAAAGGAAAACCATACATTTTATGGGAAAAAAGTGGTGCTGCTAAGGAATGAATGACTTGGAAACTAGTGGTTCTATTTAACATATACACTCGCAGAATGACATTGCCACTCAATTATAATAGTTTATTTTTGAAGTTATGTTCTAATATATTACTTAGAGTATCTCCTTAAATAATTTTTTAACTGTATTATGTTCTTCAGGACCTAAAAATGTTGTGTAAGAACTAATTGATTAATTAAACTCCTCCAAACATGACCACCAACCACATTTAAAAGTGATACCGTTTTTTTTTATTTACCAACGTACTACGAATTTTTCACATATAAACGTACATACACACATATACACTTATACCAATAAGAACTGAATTGCATATTAAATGTAGGGAAAGTAGTCAAATGTATTTGCAAAGGACAAGTTACAAACAATTATGTTTTAATTATTTATTAATATATACATATATTTTATTTCCATTTAGAAATTTGATTTCACAATTGGAAATGTGTTGTGATACCGAAATTTTCTTAACATTAACCCAAACTAACAACTTACACTATATACTATACATATATAAATATACAAATTATACAAACGAATATGATATACATACAATAATTCACTTATTGCAATTAAATGCTTAAATATAACATATAAACATACATACCCGTATGCGTATAATTCATAAAAATGCGCCGAAGAAATGAAATTTTAAAACAGCTTCAAACATTTTTATCTCTAATATACATACATACCTACAAACCAAATTAGTGTGTGAAAAAAATTAGAAAAAAAAAATTCAATTAATATCGAAAAAAGTAAATCACGTGTTTTTTTCTTCTAATTTTAAGTTTTCATTGAAGCTGCTGAGCATTTTCATTTCCAAATTTAAATTGTTTTGAACCTTTCAACTAACTTCTTAAGAACTGTTAAATTTAAACGATCATTTGTCAGAACCGAGCATACTGGTCTTCCTGTTTTCCAAAAAATTTTTGAAATTTTTGGTAAGCACTCTTCGGTGTACCATTTTGTAGTTGTCGTCTGAACCCTTTTCCAGTGGAATAACAGCTACGATTTGAGATTGAATGAAGTAAATTGACATCATTATTTTTGCTGCTGACTTTTGCTGCTTAGATTTTACGGTTGGGCTTGCTCCTGTTGGGCTGCATACCCATGAACTGTTGCTTGGTTTCTGGATTGTACTTATAGAACCAAGACTCGTTACCAATAACGACTTTACTAAAGTTGCTAGACTGACTGTTTTCGAATTTGTTTGGAACAAAATTGGACAAAAGGCACTAGAAGATCTTTTTGGGCCCCATTTAAAATTTGTGATATCCATCGAGCACATTTCTTAATATTCGTCATACAGCAATGGCATTCAATCCGAATTAATTAGCAATCATTTCTTGTATCAACTGTGGATCTGCGTCAATTTTGGACTTCACCACAGCCAAAGTGACTCTGATTTCATCAGTGCAAGATTTTGGTCGACCTTTTCGGAGCTCGTCCTCTACGGAAAAATGTTCGGTCTGAAACCCTCCGAACCATTCAGAAATAGTCTTTAAAGACGGTGCAATCGTTCCAAATGCAATTTGGCGTTCACTGAATATTTGTTTTGGCGGTAAATTATGCTGAAAGCCGAAGGAAATCACATTTCGGGTGTCTGTTAGCGTTGGTGGTGAAAATTCCTCTAATCTATCCTCAGCTATCTTCCATTTTCTCTTCTCCATTTTAGTCGACCTTAATAAAATTTGGAAGGAAGGCTAATAAAATAATTACAAAGGATTTGGTATTTTTAGATTTAACAAAAACAAATCAAACAAAGTGACCAACTGACCGAACTTTTGATATGACCGATTTTTCAGATTTGAAAATAGATGGATTTCTAAATTTTCAATACTGTATAATTATCGAAATCGGAGGATGGGAAAAACTCTGTCAAAAAGCTGTCTAGAGAATGTAATTTGGTAATGTTATCTGATGACCTAATAATCCGGGTCAACTCCGGTGAGTGGAACGGGTTCTCCTCCACCATAAAGGGTTTCCCTGATATCTCGTCGACCCTTTCCGCTTCTTCACCACAAAAGACAATTAGGACTGAGACCTACAAAACCCGCCGTTCTCCTATTCACCAGATGGTCGAAAGAGTACGGACTAGATCTCGATGGCGTAAAAATTCCGACTATAAAGGACCCAAAGGTACTAAGAGCTACATTCGACACTCTGCACTCCTTAAATCCGCATGCGAATGCAATTGCAAAAAAACTTCAGAGCTTCTAGCAAAATCCTCAAAGCGTTAGCCGGTAGCACTTGGGGGAAAAGATAAAGACACTTGTTGGTAACGTAAAAAACCAATTGGCCGACCGATCGTAAACTATGCTGAGCCGATGTGGGCACCGGGGACAAACGGGACGCGCTGTTGTATAAACAATTTCTGCTGGAATGCTACCAACAAACTTTTTTAGAAGCAAAACCAACACCCAGGCAAATCAGAAAGAGAGTACCTGACTTCAAGAATTGCATTCAGCAACCAAGAGTCAGTTAACACCTTCAAGGCTTCTGCGAATGGCGTTCCCGGAGTCAAACCACCACCCAGAGTAGACGATCATGTAGGAACCAATTTGGAGATCTGGTGACTGATGTTCAGAGCATTTTTGGTGTAGGTAGAGAATATTTCTCCAGCCGGCTGAATGGCGGAGAAAAGGTAACCTCTGGAGTTGGTACCTGAAACCCCAATCGATGATGATGGAAATTACCATTACCCGACTATGACGAGGTTCGTATAGTGATTTACCGCGCAAAGAACAACAAAGCAGCTAAAGTCCACTGACGTTTATATCTTAAGCCTAAAACATCGCGCCATTAGCTCAGCTTTTCCAATATTGACAAAGAAGTAAAGCGGATAGGGAACAGAGAACAAGACAAAAGAGAATTGCGATCCTGTGTATTAGCGGAGCATTATACCAAACGAGGCTCTGAATGCCCTCTTAGCTCTACTCCCTGTGGACATTGTGGTGTGCATAATGCTGCTTGCGTCGCGGTAAGACTGCAGCAAGAGGTGTTTGTAAGGATAGCAATAAACCATGGGCAAACTAACATCTTAAATAGGTTTCGTCGATCCGAAAAAAACAAATTAATGCATATCATTCACTGACCTCATGACAGATTTCGAGGCAGTTATCCCGGATAGAAACCAATGGGGCAGGATAATACCACCAAGCACCGATACGATTCATTTTTAAACAGATGGCTCGAAACTAGACAATCAGGTCGGTGGCGGAGTTTACTCAAGCGATCTTACCGGACTACTGTGGTGTTTTTTAGGCGGAATTGCTGGCTATACATGAGGCTATCTATTGTATCAGCTCAATGGTGCTCTCAGAAAATCGCATTCATATCTTTTCGGATAGCCATGCCACATTAAGGGAGGTGGAATCTATAACAGCAAAATTGAAAACTGTAGAGACCTTTGAGAAATGCCGCAGATCACTTAACTTGATGGCTAAGCAGTTCTCTTTTAACCTGGTATAGCTGACTGAATGCAATAACATATCAGCGAGCGAGCTTGTAAGGAGGGGCACTTACCTTCCACTTTCGCTATCATGGAAGAGTTTGTAATATTGGAGAGTTATTCAATAAAGTTCTAAAGTCAAGATGGATAAATCTCTATGCGGGACTAGGACAGCAAAGCCAGAATAGTACAGAAGTAGGTCACCTGATCTTATCGTACTAAAAACGTTAAAAAGAAAGAAGATATCTACAGTTAGAGGTCTGCTTACACGACATATTTTCTTGGACAGGCACCAATTCAATTTCCATGAATTTTTTTTTAATCTGCGTGTTTTTGAAATTAAATTTCAAAATATTTCTCATTTTGACATTCAATTTGAAATTAATTAATTGCTACGTCTTACGGTTAAGTTTTCTTTCGAGTTAAGCCGTCATTAGCATAGAGACCGAGTTCCCAGAATAAAACTGCAACATTGATTTGTACATATTTATTTTACTTTATTTGCATAAAAGTCAAAATTCAAAAGAATTCTCAAAAATTAGAAAATAAAATTATACACTTAATTAGATACCTACTACTAGAATATACATACATATGTACGTAAGATACAGTGTAATAGTTATTAATATTTATTATTTATATTTTTAAATTAAAAACATTATCATAATCTTAATTATAATTACTCGTACATAGTTTGATAGTCGCTAATATTTGTTGTGTGTATAAAGTACATTTTTTTTTTGTTCTTTTTCAGCACATTTCTGTGTTATATAATTTTTTCTTAATAACAATGCTAATATATTTTCTTCCATCTTAATATTTAATTTTAATTATTATTGAATTATTTATGAAATAAATATTATTTAACATACACAGTAACGCGGTCTCAAACTCGCAACAGAAAAAACCGAGTTGCTGCTATTAACGAGGCGACGTACTTCTGGAGATAGACATGCACACAATCGCGGGCACAAATCCTGCATGCCGCAGTCAAAGTCTCCAAAGTCACTGCTCAGCTTAGTAGACTAATGGCTAACATAGGAGGCCCAACTCAAGAGAAAAGGAAGCTTATCATGGCGGCAACCCTTAACGTCTTACTATATGGAGCCGAGCTATGGGCGGAGTTACTTAAGAAGAATGATAGGCGAATGGTACTGGCCAAAGTATACCGCACGGCGGCTTTTAGGGTAACGTCGACACGCAATACCCCACAGTATCAGGGGAAGCTATAGCTGTAATAAGCGGAAGCGTTCCCAACGACCTATTGGCAGCCGAAAAAAAAAGAAACTGGACGCTCAAAAAAATGAAGAACCAAGGATGCACAGTCGATACAAATAGAGAGGACATAAGGAAAGAAACCCTGAACCAGTGGCAAGCCCGAAGGGAAGAAGGAAGTAATGGCCGATGGACGGCCAGATTAATAGCAGATGTCAGAATATGGACAACAATCATTGCCTATTGCTTGAAAATTTTCAATTATAAGCTCGACCCATTCAAACGTTTTGAGAGCAAAAATTTTTACTTACCTCAGAACTTCTTTCAAAAATTTTTAACTGATTTATGCTATTGTGCGCTATTTAGATCTATTAACTATTGTAGATGCGCGATTCAAAGGCTAGCAATTTCATCTTAAGTGTTTTCAGAATAAGCGAAATGTTTATTTTCAGATATTCAGAAAACTGCATTCCTAGAATTTTTCAAACTCAAGAAAGACTCAAATATAATTAGCGCTTTGTAATCGCTGAAGCGACTTTCAACCGAGCTCCTCCCCCGATGTGTGGGTTTGTGTCTTGATGATTTTCCCAATAAATGGAGGCACCTACACCGCCTCCGAACGGCTAACTGAACCCGAGTCTTTCGAATGGCAAAACGCAATGCTAACCACGCCGCTGCCACAGCCAAGACTGAAGTTCAGTAGTTACAGAAAGTTATCGGGCATTATTATTAGTTCAGGAAAACTTGGCTACCCATAAGATATGCAAGTTTCATATTCAAATAAATCAAAATTTTCTTAATATTAAAAAAAAAAATATTTTTTTCAGCGCCACATTAAGCAATTAGTCTTAATTTAGGATAGGCTTAGGTATTAGATTTCTTCAGTAAGAATTAGCCAGTAAGGATATGCCAAATTGAACTGGATTTTTGTAAATTTTTCTTAACAATTGTTACTACGAATCAGCTCGCGGAACAGAACTAATCAAAGGATATTACAATGAAAAATTAAAAATTAAGATCTCTATCGGCTCGAAATATATATTACAACAAGAGTGAGGTTGCATGCTAAACTTTATTATTATTTTTTAAGCTCTGGCACAATTTACAAATTTAAATTTTTTTAATATTTTTTAAATTTTCTATAAATTTTTGAGTAACAAAAATGTTCAAAAAACAGTATAGCATATTAAAAAAAAAGAATTTTTTCACTCTTATTTGAATACTGTGAAAACCACAAAAAAAAACACATTCGAAGCATTTTTATAAAAAAAAATATATATTTGTTCTACAAAAAATTTTGTTTCTTTTTATTTTTGTCGGTGTACTACTTCTAGAAATTCAAGCAACTCACAAGTCTATCGAAAATTTAATGAGGAATCAAAAAAAAAATTCCAAAAAATTGTAACATAACCTCATTTTTGTTTTAGCAATCCTTAGAACCCATATGAATTTTAGTTCTTTTTCCTAGCAGCCTCTGTTATTACAAAAACTTTATACTGACTTGAGAACAAAAGCTTGACAAAGTGCTGAGAAAACATTTTTTCTGATGTTTCGAAGTCTACATTTCTTCATTAACGGTAATACCTTGAAAATCTTAAACTTGCAGTAGCGAAGTAACTTTTTGATGCCAATATTTCCAGCAATGATAAGCCCGATACCTTTCTCAAGCCGATTCGCTATATTAATCACCATGTGGACTTTTATTTCTTCGTTACGCCCAACCCAAAAAAGAAAACCAAAGTGTTTTTTTTTATTTTTAGCATATTTATAGTCTATTATATGGATATATCAACGTCATATTTGTATGAGTATGTAATTGAATTTTGATTAAATATATATTCAATAAATGCTTTAGCGTAATAGTAAATGAAGATACCGTTAATTAACAATATGCGGTACTCTTTAACTGCGAAATTTCAAATAAAGATGTTTTTTTTTTTGTATTTTTAAAGAATTTATTTAACACAAAATACCTGCAGGCGGTTTTTTATTCAAACGAAAAGTTCTTTCTCAATTAGTTTATAGAGCAAAATTTTTGTAGAGATAACTCTCCGCTGCAAATATATGCACTTCTTAATGAATTCTTTTTCACTTGCCAACTCACAATAAGTTTCATATTAAACTTTTTAAATAGATATTTATTTGGAAGAACAAAAAAAAACTTATTCAATTTTAGATTTATGACAGTCGTGAGTGCATGAAAACTCATGATTTCGAAACTAATAAAAAAAATTCCAAAAATTATGAATTAACAAGTACAAGAGCGTTTAAAGAATTTTCTTTGTTTTAGCGAAGAAAGTTTTTGAGAATTTTTTTGAAAAAAAAAACGCGTAATTCAACAAACAAACAAATTTTTCTATTGTTATAGAAGAAGATTTGTATGTATCTTATAATGGTAGTGAATAGTAATTTTATATAAATATACATACATGCGCTACATAGAAATGTAAGTATGTATGTATGTGTAATGCACAATCAACGAGTTAGAGTTAGAAAAGTAGGGTTAGACAATATAATTATTGTTAATATCTGCATATCATATTAAACGAATCTATACACTATTATCACACACCTGACCCTCAAGGAAGAAAATAAGGCTGTAGAATATATCATATATGTACATATTTATGAATGTATGTATGTATGTACGAGTAGACTATGCCTTTTCATTCAACACTTAAACTAAACGTTGCTTAGGTGCATACATAATTGTAGGGATGTAGGAGTTAATTGTAATATTTTTTTTTTATTTTTTTAGGATTCTCAATTAAATTTAAAATCAAATCACAATGCGTTGTCAAAACCATTTTCTATTATTATTTTTTTTTTTTAATTTTTTTTTTTGCTATTTTCTAATGTATTTTTTGAAAGATACATACTCTATAATTACAATTTATTTTACATAAAAAAGATCGTTAATGCTTGCGGAATGATATTTTTGCAAAATGAAAACATTTTTATATGACATTTTTTTTTTGTTTTTGTTGCTGTCTCTTGCTTGCTACGTTCTAAGAACCCGTCGTTTCGAATTGTTAAAAATCCTGCCAACTCTTATTTACATTTTGGAGTTGAAATAACAAATTTTATATATTATTGTTGTAATTGTTCAACGCAAAACTTGTTTTCCCACGTTGCGTACGGAAACGCGCACTCCCATTGGCATCGCAGCGGATAGCACCAAAAAACGCCAACAAATCCAGTGCAGTGTGGAGTCAAACTATTCTACGCTGTTGTTGTTGTTGCTGTTCCTCAATTGTCAGCTTCGGGTGGTACGTGTATGTCTGTTGAGGCGCTATGTGTGTATGTGTGTGAAGTTTTTTGTGGCTGCTGCAGTGCTGATCTTAACTCGATTCCGTGGCGGAGGCGGATTTCTCCGCCTCGTCGGCGGTGACCAAACCTAAAATAGCTTTACGCTTTTTGTACTCCTCGTAGCGTATGTGAGCGTAACTAGAATTTTTTGAGATATATTTTTTTTGTATAGAAAAGTTATGAAAATTTTAGAAATTTTTTTTTTTAATTTTTTTTTTTTTTGTAGTATTATGTGTGGAACATTTGCATATTTACTACTCATCTGATACTTACTCAACATAATCAAAATCAATATTGGAATGTTCTGCCTGTATGAGCGACCAAACGGTCCAGAGCATGTGTGCGGCCAACGCGAATTGGTCCACCTGCAAGTACAGGCGTTCCACTTCGGCGTCGGTGATGTGTGTGCGTTGCAGATACTCCTGCAGATAGACGCGTAACCAAGCAAGCTGAAAGTCTCGCGTCGGATAACGTGTAAAGTCCACTTCGTCGACGCCGGCAAATTCACAAAAATGATTACCAATATCGAATGCCTGAAAGTTGTAATCGGCATACTCGTAGTCAATGAAATTAACGCACTGCTGATCTTCGTAGTAGACAATATTGCCCAGTAATAGATCGTTGTGGGCGAACACCACCGGACTGTCCAGGCGTTCGAGATGCCTGTAGAGCGCGTTGAACTCATCGCGTAAACGTTTTATTGGCAAGAAAGTCTCCTCAACTCTGTAATGGGGATATTCATGTGAGTGAAGGCAAAAAGCATTTGCGCAACGCACAGAAGGGGAGAGAAAAAACCAAAGAAGAAAAGCGTTCAGTTGAAATGTTCACAAGATTCTTGTTTTCTAAATAACAAATAGATTTTCTTATGTGTGTATGTGTGTCGCTACTTTGCTCTTGTAAATAAATTATACTTATTTTTTTTTTTTTACTTTAAATGAGGTGAACTTTTAGTATAATAAAACCAAAAAAAAAAAAATAGCCTAATAATAACGAAAGAAAATATTGCTACTTAAAAATAATAAATTTGTTAATTTTTATGAATTTTTCTTAAATGCGCATACATACATATGTTAAATGCAACAAAAAATGAATGCTACTGTAAATGTTTTGGTGTTTCGGTTTTTGTTTTTTTTTTTTTGTTTTTTTTTTTTAGTTTTAAGAAAATAATTCAAAAACATTACTAGTTTCATATGGAATCGAAATTCGAATGGTACGAATGAGTAGACGACGATCGATCGAACGAACGAGTGAGCGGTTCGGGTGTTGGCAAGCGAACGAAGAAGACAAATATGAACGCAGACAAGGCAATTGAGACGAGCTTCATATACGCAGATCCCATAAACGCCTAGACTCCGGCCACTGGCACTTAGTGCGCCCAACGCGTTCAACAAACAGTCCCACGAAGGAACACAAACGAACGATTAAGTAATTTGTACGACGGCAGACGACGGTGATTGTCTCTTTTCATGCATGCAATATTTTGTTTTCACCGAGGAGAAAGACGAAAGACGCGTATCGATTTCAATCGGACTGCTCTCGCTAATTGTGCAGATATAAAATGCGCAAGGCGAGACGACATGTGGGTGCGTATGTACGCATGTTCACCTTGTTTAACGTGCCTTTCAGCCAATACGCAACTCAACACTTTCAATTGCTTCTTACACCTCCTTGCTACCAGCAGTTACATGTCGATTTGAGAAGCACGCATAATGCCCGTCGCTTCGTTCTCGCCGCCACACACACACACACCCCGAAAGAGGTAATCGCAGGCGTAGCCATTTAAGCTGCAGCCGAAGCCTCAATAGCCTCTTAGCCGTAGTCTTAGTTTGGATCGCCGCATTGCCGCCCCCATCCAAGTCCATCATAGCATGCTAAACATTCTTTGGGTTGGGGTGGCCTACAAAATAATGAGTTTGGCATGTGACGAAATAAATTTCGTATTTCGACGGTTGAAATTACCTTTTGTGTTTGTCCGGATCACTAAAATGTTCAGGTACCAAATCAAAGAAACTCTGCACCTTACGCCATAACATTGGTTCAAGCGGTTCACCAGCACCACCACCACCACCACCACCACCACTAGCAGCTGTAGCCTCCGGAACTTCCTGCATCTTCACACGACGATGCATTTCGGCCATGCGCGTTGCTACCAAACGCCAAATATTCGGCTCCAAAACACTTGTCGGCTTCAGTGTTACACCAGGTACAAAATCGTAAACTAAACCATTCTTGAATGTAGCAAATAGCGTTGGCGCAAACCCATACATGTGCAACAGTTGAATGTTGCGTGTCTCGGCTTTACGATCTATCAACAGATCGGTTTTGTTACCATAGACACGCACCAATGCTACATTGCTCTCGTGAGACGGACTGCTATCGTTGCAGCTCTCAACTTTCGTATAAACATTAACGCTGGTATTGTGACTAACTATTTCAGTTGTGCTCGATGTAGTCACCTCTGAATCCAATGTATCCGTGTCGCTGATATTGCCAGAGTCATTATTATCTTCCAACAAAGTGGATGATGCCAAAGCTGTTGGTGAGCTGGGGGTTTCACTGCCATTTGACCTGCCTTTTTCAATGTCATTATCATTGCTGTTTGATGCTGCTGTTTGTGGGGGATTATAGAAGCAGCCGACAAGCTTATTTGTGATGCCATCGGTGAATTTCTAGAATTATTCAAAAAAAATAAAATAAATAAACAAAGAGAAGAAGGGAAAAGAAAACATGAGTTTGTGTTCAGTAGAATGTGTATTGTGACAAAATGATTGGCTTGATTGCTGTTAACTATTCCGTGTATATCATTCAATTGAGCTGAGATTAATAGGCGTCCAAAAGATAGGAACACCAAATGATAGCTATCATAATAATGCTGACATTGGCACTGGCACTGCCACCGTGTGCACTTTAATTGGAGAACAAATGATACAAAAGAAAATAAAAAAAAAGAGATGCAAATAAACTCATACGATTTCAACGACCACCCACCAATCAGCGTGAAAAATAGGGTAAAAATAATGATTGTTTCATTATTACACTGACCTCGGCCTCTCACAGCAAACATTGCTTTTATTTTGTATTATTAAATTACTTTGCCTTTCAAATAAATACTGCTTGACACTTTCGCTATGTGTTCCGTTCGTCATCAACCCCACAACGATGGCAATCAATTGCTTTGCCGCTTATTCGATTTATCTGGTTGTGGAACTTGAACAAATCACAGCGAGTTCAATTGTGTCAATTTACTGTAATTTTAGCATGCAAACAAACACGCAACTAAACATATACATACATATACCGACTATTTAGAACTTTACTAATTTAATTTGTTTGTTTATTTGATTTTTCCAATTGTGAATTTCATGCATTTGGGTTCTTTATTATCGCGTAATCACTTAATCAGACCAATCAGACGATTTCTGCAATATTTAATAATTGTTTTGTAACTAGGTATATATGTATATACGCAGGGCTTTAGGCGTTTAGTAAATAAATTAAATTGAATTTCACAGGAAATTTAAATAAATAAATGAATGAATTCGCTTTCAGACCATAAATTTGTTTGAAATCACAGGTAATAACAGTACTAAATATTATTCCACCACATGTCAATTGAGAAAGTTTAAGAAAAAACTATATATATATATATATATTATTTATATATATATAATTGGCGCTTTGTAACCGCTGTTTTTTCGGTCGAGTTCCTCCCGGAATTTGTGGTTTCGCGTCTTGATGTGTTTCGCAACAAATGGAGGGGTCTACAGTTTATACTAAAGCCGCCTCCGAACGGCTGTTGGTTTTTTTACGGGGAACTTTATATCATGTCCGAAATACACCCGGAGGGGTGGACATTCCCTTCCGAGGGACGACCGAATTTAGAAAATTTAGCTTAATTTTTTATTTAAATAAATTTTCGATAACTTTCGGATGTTAGTGGCATCGGGTTATGATCAGGAGCCTTCCGAATGTCAGTACGGAATAATAATAAATAATAAATTTAATGAATAAATTGTGTTATGCGATATAAAATATATCTCGAAGGTTGAAAAAATTACGTACATTTGGAAAACAATTTCGATTGGAGCCACGACTTACAGAAGGTCACAAGACCGGAGCAAACTTTGATAGGACCCGAAAAGTGATCTAGCAAGTTCAGAGTATGCTGAATGTATGCAGGAAACACTTCACCGACCGGGATATTTAAATAAGGCTGCAAAAAACTGATAACAACTTCTTTCCAGAATATGGTCAGTTGAAAAATGTCCGTCGATTGTAACATAAACGTACGTTTCCGTAAAACGAGGGACCCCAAAGTCTGCAGTTAGTATCGCATGCAAGCTCCTATCGCGACTTCATACCTGGTAAAACCCCATTGGCAAGATATTCACCATGCGTCAAACCTTGCAAAAAAAACCGTTAAAAGTGGATCGAAACATTCGACAAGATCGGAAAGCAACTTTCCCACCTGTTCGTTAGCGAACGAGATTTCTGGCAAGGGGCAAGGTAACTATAGTTTTTTTGAATTTTTTTTAACTAGAAAAAATGATGATTCGTTCCAGTATGTCTTTGGCGGCCTTTTGCGATTGAATTATGAATAAAATTGCAGAGAAGAACTGAAGCACAGCAAAAAAAATAAAGTCCAGATCGCTCAAACTCAGCCACAGGACAATTGGATCAACTTAATCACTTTTTAGAAAACGAAATCCCGTGACTTTTTTGACAAAATGTGCACTGAAAATTCTTTTCGCAGAGATTTTCTTGAACATCTTTTTTGGCTAAATTAAATGCAATGTCCGAAAATAATTCTTTAGTTGTATTTTTCACCGATTGAAATAAAATATTTTTAAATTAGACATTTTGTTCAAGAAGTTGAAATGAGATTCACAGGCCTATTCTGTAGAGGTAATAAAATTTACTTTGGTACTCAAATTTACCATTCAGTAAATTTTGATACTATTTCGTATTCTGCGTTCACTGTCACACTGTAAGTTTTATTACCCATGAAATAGGAGATAACAAATAATCTGTTGATTGATTTTGTGTTGTTAATTTGCGAAAAAAATAAAAACCAAAATGTATAGGCATATTTTACGTCTGGAATTCAACGCAGCTGAAGAAAAAGATGCAAAAAGACGCAAGCTAAAAAGTTTGAAAGAAGAAAATTACGTATCAGGAATGCGTTGGGAGCAATTGCCTAACTGCTACGAGCCAACCTACTGTTTCGCGATCACTGCAAAACAAACGAAATGAAATTATATATGTATATTCTTCTTTTCACTTTACCAACTGGCAAATCTAGTTTGATATGGAGGAAAAAAGCAGTGCTGCCAAAGTTTGCTGAAACCTACTATTCAGGAGCTCCATTTACTTAGAAATTTTTCCGAATATCTTCACAGCTTTCCGACTTCTTATTCGAGCAGAAACACTGAACATGAAAAACCGCTAGATAAAACGTGTTTTATATTTCTGAAAATCTTAAAAGCTGATTTTAGGATTCCAAACTGATATAAATTTACAGAAAAGCTGGACTGAATCGTCTAAAAAAATATAAAATAAACACTAATAATTACATATGTATATACATGCATATGTTGAGTGTTAATTATGAGAATAATCGTTGTGCTTAACCTTGTTAATACATTCAATATAAGTACGTACAAACGCTCAGAAAAATATAATATTTATCGAAATGATTTATTATTCTACGAAAATTCTTATTTGTTATGCACTCAAGCGTTTAGTTATAGCAGTTCCATATACTAATTACACAATTAGCATAGTCACTTGCTTAACAACAAATACACTACGCTAAATGAAAGTTATTTTTCGCTACTTTCAAAAAAACTTATCGTACGAGCATATTTATAATTACGAGGAAATATCTAAATTTAGGAAGCAAGCACTTAATTTGAGTTTTCATTTACTTTTACAACGAAGGTCTGAGTGAGAGCAAACAGAAACTCTGGTATGATCCCTAAAATATCTCCGTAAGAGACAGGTTTTCTGAATCTAGTACAACTCACCGGTTCCTCTCAACCTCATTAAAAATATACACATACTTATGTGCTCTCTCGAAAAGCAAATATATAATATAATATATAACACATATTTCCATTAATAAATTGCGAAACGTTCGGATAAGAGTGATTTCTTGTCAAGATAAGCTGAAATATTTGCCCACCCATGCGAGTCAGCAGACAGCCCGATAATAAAATTTAATTATGTGTATATACATACCTATTGTGGACAGGTTGTAAAGTTCATAGTTAAAAAAGTTTTTACCTAAGAAGGGATTTTTTATTGTTTATTTTTTTTCAATTTTTTCTTAAATTTTTTTATCTAAAAGCTTTCAATAACGGAATTATAATTTTTTAAAGAAATGAAACATAAAAGAAAATATTTTAATTGTGGGGTATCTAGAAATGTGATATGGAAACTCTGTACAGCTATTATTTTGACCGTGAGTGTGCTTTTAAAAATTTCAGTAACCTATAAACATACATATTTTCTTAAAAAATATACACTTTATTCAAATATATGGAGTATGTATATAAGTGTGTACGTTTGCATGCTTTATAAATTAGTTCATAATTATCTATATTGATATATCAGTCCTAATATACGATATATATGTTTGTGTATATATGTATGTATAGTTTATCTTATCACGAGAATTGCGAATTTTCGCGTGATTTTCTTGTAATTATTACTATTGTAGATGTATTTAGATGTTTACACACATACAAATATATACGTTTTTCTGAGCCACGTGCGAAAGTGTTTACTCTACCGCTGAATAGAAAATTAACTAATTCGTTATACAGCAGCTTATGAAAATAATCAAAACTTAGCATTTTGATCCCAAAAACAAATTAAATCAATCAAAAATAAAGGGAAAGTAAAATAATATGAAAAACAAATTAAACAAAAAGAAATAAATAAAACAAATTAAACAAAAAAAAAATAATAAATAAAACAAATTAAACAAAAAAATAAAAATAAATAAAATAAATTAATAATGAAATGAAAAAGAAAACTGAATGAAATTACATAATAAAATTTGATTGAATTCACAGAAATGAAAGCAAGGAAAACGAAAAATACGAAATGAGAAAAACAAAATAATTAATAAATAAATTTAATTAAATTAACAAAAATTCAAAATGTATCTAATTAAAATAAAAATAAAAATAAAAGAAAAAAAACATATGCAATAAAATAAAAATAAAATTAAATTAAATACAATTGGAGAAATATAAAATGAGTAAAATTAAATTAAATAAAACTAAAAAAATAATCCATAAAATAATAAAATGTATCAATATTAAACAAAAAATATAAATATAAATCAGCCAAAATAGCAAGATCTAACAAAAGAAATATAAAATTAAACACAAATAAAATAAATTAAATCTAAATAAATGTGAAATAAAAAAATTAACAAAATAAAATAATTTAAAAAAAATGGAAGTAAACAAAAAGTATAACAAATTAAAGTAAACGAAAGCAAAAAAAAAGTCAAAAATAAAACAGAATGTAATTGAAAAGGAATATAATAAAAGAATAAAAAAATAAAATTTTATTAAATAGAAAATTAAAATCGGTAAATTAAATTAACATAAATAAAATAAAATTAAAAAAAAGATAAATACAATAATTAAATAAA